TAGGGTTCAGGGTTTAGGGTCCCTAGTAGATGTGGTGCTCAACACACGCTTTTTCTGGTGGTCCCACAGGACGGAACAGACTCTCTTCTTCCTAGTCATGAAGGCACGGGAGCTCCCGAAACGAACATTCTCTCCACAAACATTCGGGTAGTTCTCTAAACTAGGATCCCTTTTTAGGTCCGAAATATAGTACGGCACCCTCATAGAAAGGAAAAGGGACCCCAACTTAGAGAGCTACCCAAACTCAGCCTTCTGTGCCGAAGAGATCTTCTTTTCAGCGCCTGACTTCTGCTATGCTAAGACTCCGAGTTCCGGAAACCGACAGAAACCTGCCTAGCCTGAAAAAAACCCTGAACCCAAAGCCCTAAACCCGAAACCCTAAACCCCAAACCCTAAACCCCAAACCCTAAACCCCAAACCCTAAACCCCAAACCCTAAACCCAAAGCCTTAAACCCTAAACTTTCTAAACCCTGAACCGTCTAAGGCGTCTCTGAGAAAAAAAGTCACCTACGTCGACGAAAGTGCCTGCTGCTCACGCCAGCCAGCTACATGCCTCTGGCAGAACCTGCCGTTCAGGGTTTAGGGCTTGGGGGGCTAGAAGTGCACCAGTAGTGAGCAGAAGCTCTGCTTCTGAGAAGCCCAGAGAACCCAATACACCTTAATGAAGGAATATACCTTAAGTTATTGGGGCCTTAATATTATAATTTAAGGTATATTCCTCAATTAAGGTTCTCTGGGAACCTCGTGCAAAGAGAAGCTTCAGCGGCATTGCGCAGCAAACATGCCGGTGCTTCGCTTGCATCGGTTTGACGACATCCTCTCCTCAGGCCAGAAACCCCTATTGTAACCTATAGGGCAATTCTTATAGTAAGACTCATGGTGACCCTTGTCGTAAGCCTTATAGTACCCCCTCATAATAAGTCATACGCCGCACCGTACGCCGAAAGCCTTCTAGTACCCTAAACCCTAAACCCTAAACCCTCAATCCTAAACCCTAGGCCCTAAACCCTAAACCCTAAACCCTAAACCCTAAACCCTAAACCCTAAACCCTAAACTGACTACCTTTCAAGGAAGCCTTGAATAGCTCTCCCAGGGTGCAAGGAGAGCTATCCTTCCTTAGGGGTTTAAGGTTTAGGGTTTAAGGTTTAGGGTTTAGGGTTTAGGGTTTAGGGTTTAGGGTTTTAGGGTTTAGGGTGTCCAGTATCCTGGGGAACTAAAGGCTAACCTTTGGGAGTATACTGGGATTATATAGGGATTGTGGTACCCCAGAAAGGTTAGACCTACTCTACGTGGTTTTAAGGCTCCCTTTCAGGGCTCCTCTGAAAGGGGAGCCTTTAGGGGAAATCCGCTTTTTAACGGTTCATTTTACGGGGTTCCTTTAAGCTTCGTTTAAGGGCTCTCCTGTAAGGGTTGTTCTGAAGGGTCCCCTCAACATCTCTTAAGGGTTTCTACTTGGAGGATGATGGAACTTAGTAAGTAGGGCTATAACTACCTTAATTGGGGTTATAATTGCCTTTAAGTATAGTTACCCTATTTATAACCCTAGTTACCAAGTCCCATGATCCGCAAGTAGAAGGGCGTACCATAAGGTTCCCACAAGCCGTGGTTCCTTCAGGGGCTACTACGAGGGTTACTGTCAGGGTTCCTACAAGGGCTACCTTGTTTTACCGCAGCTTTCCCGAAACGGCTACAACAAGGCTACTATAATGCCCACTTATAAGGATACTACGGTTGATGATATAAACCCTGCATTACCTTAAGGACCCTAAACTATGGTTATGGCCTATTCCTTATTATGGGTAATGCAGGATTTATATCATCAACCGTATAACCCTAAACCCTAAACCCTAAACCCTAAACCCTAAACCCTAAACCCTAAACCGATAACGGTTGCTAAACGGGTGACACTCTTGGGATCGGAGGCCGAGGGCCCGGCGCAAGCTCCAATGGTTGTGGGAGGCGTGAGGTGGGAAAACGCCCTGCAGATGCGTCCAAATCACAAAGCTCCTTAAGGGTTTAGGGTTTAGGGAGTTAGGGTTCTCAGGATTTAGGGTTTAGGGTTTAGGGTTTAGGGAGTTTGGATTTAGGGTTTAAGGTTTTTTTTAAAGTGGGACACGCCTTTGACTGTCGACGCTGCCATGTAGGCTACCACCGAGTGAAACTAGTTAGGGTTTAGGGTTTAGGGAGTTAGGGCTTTCAGGATTTAGGGTTTAGGGTTTAGGGAGTTTGGGTTTAGGGTTGCTGCAGATGCGTAAATTACAAAGCTCCTGAAGGGTCAGTCGCAAACCCAGAGACTCCAAAACCCCTTAGTCTCGGAATCCACCTTAAATTGTGATGCGATGCCTAATATGGTTTAAGATATATTCCTTAATTAAGGGGTTTTGGAGGCTTTGCGCCTCTGTTCAACTGCTGATGCATCTCACCGGGTGCATTGCGCGCCATGCTTGTTCCTAGCACTGTTCTGATCTCCGCCTGTGACGACCTTGATTTCGCCCGCCACCCAAGTTCATATCTCACCATCGTCACTGCCACTGGCCCTGTTCAATTGTCACGACTGCCTGGTGCACTACATATTCTTGGTATTGCTGCACTCTGGCTCCTCTGCCAAAACTGTGACAGGATCGCAATATTAGTCCGGTCAAACAAACGTCGTGAGAAGCAGGCTAAATTGAATGCTTCATTGAGAAGAGGAAAAAGGCAACACTAAGCTGTTGGGAGCGCTAGAGTTGCAGAAACAATGCGACAAAGATCAGAGGAAATAGTGCTAGGTAGCGCGAGAAACATTTAAAGAAATTACAAGCCTGCAAATGCAGGACGATTGTGAGATGTGTGGCATGTGATCTCGGTAACCCCAAGATATTGCGGGGTCTGTTTTGAGGGAAGTAGAAACAGGTGATGCGGAATGAGCATGTTCCGATGGACGACCTCGATGTGGTAGGTCCACGACCGGGAAGGGCATCTGCTCAACAGCTCACGATCGGTATCTTTTGTTCGTTCTCTCCCCCTCTCTCTTACTCTTTATCTTCTTCGTCTTCCTGCAAGCAGATGGCACCTGGCTCTGCGCAAGCAGTGGTGACAGCGTCAGTACCTGGTCCCGCCTCCACTTGGGGATGTCCAGTTTCCACAGCCTGACATCAATCACCAAGGGATGCTTCACACGGTGTCCCTAAACCCTAAACTCTAAACCCTAAACCCTAAACACGAACCCAACCCGTAGACCTGACGTAAACCCTAACTGTGGCATGCCTTGAGACCTTTTGTTAAAGGAAACTACAGGTGGGGAGTTTAGGGTATATGTAGGGCTTCTATCAGGCTTCTAGAAGGTATATAGACCTTCTATAAGGCTGCTATAACGGTAACTACCCACCTGAAGATGTCCTAGACCCTAAACCCTAAACCCTCAACCCTCAGCGGAGCTTGCCCTGCTTGGTCGGCAATCCCCGGCCTTCTGCAGCAGTGCCCTCCCGTGGTACGGCTTGATGACCTGCAAAGCATCGTGAAACCTGCTACCCTAAACCCTAACTTAGGTTTAGGGTTTAGGGTAAACCCTAAACCCTAAACTCTAAACCTGCTGTATACCCTAAACCCAAAACCTTAAATCATCGGCTTAAGCGTCGTTTGGGGGCTCAAAGTCTAGGGTGTAAGGAGGCTAAAGCCCGAAAACCGCAAGCCTCAAATCCCAAAATAACTAAGCCCCAAGAAAAAGGGTTCAGGGCCGGGCTTAGGGTTTAGNNTTTAGGCTTTAGGGTTTAGGGAGCCCTCACAGGTGATGCAAATCTGGCAGTGGCCTTGTCCAGTTCGCCGTGGAGTATCAGGATGGGCACCTTGCATGCTTGCATGCTGAACTTGATGGACAAAACCCTAAACCCTAAGCCCTAAAAGGAGCCATGAAAGGGGAAGCCCCCCCCCCCCCCAGACCCTAAACCCTAAACCCTAAACCCTAAACCCTAAACCCTAA